AGGTAGATGTGGAAGCAGCTTTCCGGCTGCTTCACATACACCCGAAGTGTCATCACCTATTGGGGTGTTGCTTTGAGGGGGGGTTCTTCGTGGACCTGTTCTTACGAATGGGATGTTCCATATCATGCGCCTATTTTGAAAAGTTTAGCACATTTTTGGAATGGGTAGTACGGCAGGAATCGGCGGGGGGCGCGGTAGTGCACTACCTAGACGATTTTCTATGCGTCGGCCCACGGGAATCGGACCGGTGCAAACAGAAATTGGAGATATTCCAGTGGGTAGCGCAGTCTATAGGGGTTCCCTTGGCTGACGACAAGACCGTGGGGCCCACCACGTGCCTCAGCTTTCTGGGTTTAGAAATTGATTCCGAAAAAGGGGAATGTAGATTACCTTTGGACAAATTGCAGAATATGAGGCAGTTGGTAGCCACAGTCGGGAGGGCTAAAAAAGTGACGCTACGGAGGCTACAGTCTTTGGTGGGGAGCCTTTTCTTTGCGTGCAGGGTTATACCCATGGGGAGGGTTTTCTGCAGACGGTTGGCGCGAGCAATAAGCGGGGTGCAGGTGCCGTCGCATTACATCAGGGTTTCGGCGGACATGAGGGCGGACTTAGTGGTGTGGGATCGGTTTCTGCGGGACTTCAATGGCAGGGTGTTTTTTCGGAAACCATAGGGCTGTTTACAGACGCTTCTGGCAGCGTCGGGTTCGGGGCATATTTGTCGGGACAATGGTGCGCCGAGGCGTGGCCAGAGGCATGGAAAGCGAGCCCGTTGATGAAAAATCTGGCGTTTTTGGAATTCTTCCCTGTAGTGGTTGCGGTGGCGTTGTGGAGGTCGGAGTTGGCGAACAAACGAGTCGTTTTCTATTAGGATAACATGGCTGTGGTGCAGGCAATCGACAGTTTGTCGGCATCTTCCCTCCCAGTCTTATGCTTACTACGGCAGTTGGTACTTCTTTGCATGTCTTTCAATTTAGTATTCAGGGCTAGGCACATCCCGGGATTTTCGAATGTAGTGGCTGATGCGCTCTCTCGTTTTCAGTGGGAACATTTTCGGGAAGCAGCACCGGACGCACGGGAGCAAGGGCAGGCCTGCCCGGACGAGATGTGGCAACTCGGGACATCGTGCTTGGGGAATATATAAGGAATTTTTGGCGCCGAGCACTTGGTAATCTTATGTTAAGGTTTGGAAGGAGTGGGAGGAAACAGTAGAGCAGGTAGGTGGTGATCTTTCGGCTGGTCATCGGTTGGACGTGTTTTTGTGGTTACTGTGTCGTTTGTTTGCGAAACGGGCATCACCAGCCATGGTGGACAGACATATGTCAGCCTTGGCCTTTTTGTTTAAGTTTCATGGGTGGGAACACATAACAAAGCATTTTTTGGTACGACAAGCAGTACGGGGTTTTCGGAGGGGGAAGAAGTCGGCGGACACGAGAAGACCGGTGTCGTTCGCGGTACTACAGGGGTTGGTAGGGACATTGCCTGGGCTGTGTCCTTCGCCATTTGAGGTAGCACTGTTTTCGGGAGCATTTGTCTGGGCGTTTTTTGGGGCTTTTAGGATTGGGGAGTTGGTCAGTGCTAACAAGGCGGGGGTTGGCGGCTTACAGCTTGAAGACGTGGAGGTAGGTAACGACAGAGTGCGGATCAGGCTGGGCCGATCTAAAACGGATATTTTTGGCAAAGGCTGCTCGGTGGTGCTGTACGAGTTACCAGGGTCAGGGGCGTACCCGGTGGCTTGTGCCGCGGGGTACTTGGGCATCCGTCCAAGCATCAAGGGTTGTATTTCTTACACGCCGACGGCACGGCGCTGTCCCATTTTCAGTTCATACAGGTTTTTTATTTAGGTTTAAGGAGGCTGGGTTTGCAGCCCATGCAGTTTGGGTCGCACTCGTTCCGTATCGGGGCGGCAACAGAGGCGGCACCTTTAGGTTTGGGGGACGAGCGGATTAAGCAAATTGGGAGGTGGGAATCCATGCGATTCCGCTCGTACGTGAGGCCGGACGGGTTGGTGCAAATTGGAAGGGATAGGGGGCCGCAAAAAGGTGGAAGTTGGCTCTGCTGTGTAACTAATTTTGTCTCTTTTCATGTTGGAAGGTTTGGCTGATTGGCCACTCGTTTACTGGGCACAGAAGAGGGCTGCAGTTCGAAGTAAAGGAGCACAGCTGGGCTTTCCTCTGGAATGGGTGGCCATATCATGGGTTGGTTTTCGGGGGTTTAGTTGGCAGAGTTTAAGTAGTGTATTGTTTAGAAAGGTAGCGGACGGACCGGTCCCAGATGTAGTTTTGGTTTACGGTGGGGGGAACGACCTAGGGTTGATCCCCCAATGAGAACTGGTACGGAGAATGAAGAGGGACATGGATCGGCTGCAGGAGCTGGTCCCTGGTGTGGTGTGGTGTTGGTGTGGGCGGAGATGGTGCCTCGCATTACATGGCGGCATGCCAGGGACCCAGCTGCAGTAGCCTGATGTAGGGGTAAAGTCAATAAGACTATGGCAGTTTTTATCAGACGGTTGGGGGGAGTAGTGGTACGGCACCGGGAGTTAGAGAGCATGTTGCCGGGATACTTTAGGAGGGACGGAGTGTATTTGTCGGATGTAGGGAGTGACCTACTGAACTTGGGGGTTTCAAGAGGGCATAGCCCAGGCCCTGTTTAAGTGTGGTGGGGGTCGCACATGGTCTTAAGGGAGTCAAGCCAGGTGCTGTGGCGGAACAGGGCGTAGTTAAGTTGGAAGTTTTCGTGGAATTGAAACTGGACAGGCCAAGGTCTAGGCTGGAGTAGGCCGGACGGAAACAAGTGTTGGTAGGTTCTAGCTCTTCGGTGGCTACGAACCTGGGGGTGTACACCCCTACAGTTATCCTTATGATATGGGGCCTCTTTGGTAGGCCGGGTGTTTCAAGTTTATTGTTATTTGGAAGTTATTTATTGTTCAAGTGGTAGGGTCATTGTCAGGGGTATTGTGCGGGGGGATAGTAACATAATGTCAGTTATGACAATGACCCTAAATATGTTAATTTATTCATATATTTAATAATTAATAAAGCTGTGGACTTTATACTCCAACAGTATAAAACGTGTCCGTGTCTTATTTAAGTTTAAGGTTTATAGCACATGCCGAATAACGACGGTGCAAATGTCATGTGGTTATAAGGAAGTCACAGGTAGATATTTGGTTGCAATCTTCAAAACCTGTTTAACCCCTTAAAGGACCACTCTAGGCACCCAGACCACTTCAGCTTAATGAAGTGGTCTGGGTGCCAGGTCCTTCTAGGGTTAACCCATTTTTTCATAAACATAGCAGTTTCAGAGAAACTGCTATGTTTATGAATGAGTTAAGCCTTCCCCTATTTCCTCTAGTGGCTGTCTCATTGACAGCCACTAGAGGCGCTTGCGTGCTTCTCACTGTGATTTTCACAGTGAGAGCACGCCAGCGTCCATAGGAAAGCATTATGAATGCTTTCCTATGTGACCGGCTGAATGCGCGCGCAGCTCTTGCCGCGCGTGTGCATTCAGCCGACGGGGCGGAGAGAATGAGGAGAGAAGGAGGAGAGCTCTCCGCCCAGCGCTGGAAAAAGGTAAGTTTTTACCCCTTTCATTCCTTTGTAAAACGGGCTATGCAAAGAGCAGGACCAAGTGTCACATCATGCCTTGTTCTGCGGATCAGTCTGGTGATGGCTTCTGGTATCCAGTACTCTTTTTACTATTCTTGTTTAGTTTTTCTTGTTTTTTTTGGTTTTCAATTCCATGTCTGGTTTTCTTTATGCTGGGTTTCTGGGTTGATTCTTTTATTCCGTCCCTGGAATTCCCAGTGTCCAGGTTTCCTTTAAATGTTTGCTTTATGTTGCCACACCCGTTTGTTTTCCATTTTCCTTTTGTTTCAGTCTGGACCTGCAGCAGTGTTTCAAGACTCTGCCCTTTCTTGCAGGTAAGTGCTATTGTGGTTCAGTATGGTTCTTTTAGCGGACATTAGGCAGTGTAGGACCTGCCGAATATGGGGTACATTGGCGTTGTGGCAGGCTTATGCAATGTATGATCATATAATGTAACTAAATCCCCATACTTTTCATATATAGTGCTTGGTTATGTCTCCTCTTGTTTTGCCTATTATATCTTGTCTTGTTTTATTTTGTAATCCCAGTTCATGTACAGTCCTGTCCTGCCCTGTTCTTGTTTTCCTCATGTCTTGTGTACATGTGCTGGGTTTAGCTTTCTATCCTTCTCTGGTTCTGGGTTCTATTAGTTCTGTCTTGTTTTCATGTTTGGTGACTATCCTAGCCTTGCCTTGTTTCTGTACTGGATACATGTCTGCTGCAGAACCCCCTATCCAGTGCCTGGGAGGTCTGCATTTCAAGCTCCTAGTTCCTGGGATCCGCTGTAGCTGCATCAGGGTTCTGGTTTGTGGCCGCACAAACGCTGGTGCTCAACACCAGGGGGCGTGCGGTTACCCTGCACCGGGCCCTGTAATCCACTTCCATGCTGAAGACTCCGCTCATCTCCACAGCAGGCACTCAGGGGTCCCGGTTTCCGTACCGCCACCCGTGACACCAAGGATATAGGGACTGAGTTTGGACTTCAATCGTGATGACGTCGCAATATATTGGAAAGGTGTAGGTGGTCTGCGAATTCATCAGTTAATTGAGCTCATATTAGAATGGACATCAACTTGGCCTGCTCCAGATATTTTAATAATTCATATAGAGGGTAATGATATAGGTGTTATTATGTATGTGACAGATCCATCTGTATAGACTGGGATTGCTGGTTCATCTGTTTTACCTCTTTTCGTGGAATTACCTGTCCGTATGCCCCTGTTCGTTTATTTGACTTTCCTGCCGAACAAAACTACCGAACAGACGGCCACCCAGAAGAGAAGTGTGCTGCTGGTTAACCTCTTGATCCCAATTAGAACGTTGTGGTTAACTACAGACCCCTTTCAATGAAAACCGAATACAGGGTGGTCGTCGTTCGTATGTCGACCACGAGGCGGCAGCCATTTTAAAACAGGCGAAAGACCAGCGGTGTTCCGCACAGATTCTATGGAACTGAAAACTGACACTTTTTCCACCGAACACCGTTAAAGCCACCGACCTCCCTTCTCTTTTGACAAAAGCATACGAACACTGGCTGTTTGGGAGTTTGAACCGCACAAATGGACTTAACCCAGATAGCCTTCCCATGGAGTCAATCGCATACTGAAAGACTGTAATAGACTTTGACTCCATGGCGATTGAACTGTGCGTATTGGATCTGAGCGCTATTCACCAATAATATGCACTCAGATCCAGGCTATCTGGGGATATGTTACACGAATGAGAAATGTTCGGCAATTGTAAAGTTATATATTTTTATGTGTTTGTTTGGTTGTATCTAAAATGGCAATTTGCCTCTGTCCTTGGAGATAATTGAATTACTTATCAATTATCTCCAGGGCAGAGGGGAGGAAACCATGATGCATGCTGGGAATATTATGTGCCTGTGTGTCCTGAAATCCTGTATGTCCATCTGCTGTTACAGTCTCCCATTTGGTCCCCTAGGGGAGTGTCCACCAAGTGGGAGACCTGCATAAATACGGGCGGGTAGCCCACAGTAAACCCAGTTCATGTTTTACCCTCAATGCGGAGCTTGGTCTCGTTATTGGAGGGGAATTTACTACACGAATAGCGACTGCCGGATGGAATTATTAGCCACTTGGGAGATATATGGTTTCGGCTGTTAACGGCGATTCGTGAGTTTACTGATTAGGAAGAGAAGTACCCATACGGGTTCCGTTCGGGAGATTAGAGTATTCCCCTTCTTGCAGTTCGCATGATTAGAGTTGGTACAAATGCAGCTTGCGTCATGGTGAGAGGGGAGGATTAGCGCTGGCGATGGTTAGTAAACCGGGAGTTAAAAACGCTAGAGAGAGTGCGTAGAAAGTTGAATTTAGCAATGTCAAGAATTTTGCCATGGCTGGGTGGATTTTCGTACAGGCATTTAGAATTGGATCAGAAAGAAAGGGGCCTGTTTAGTAAAGACCGGGTTCATTTGTCAAATATCATTGTGGATATTTTTAATCTGGATCTGCTAAACATGATAGAAAGGGCCTTGGCTGTGGGGTGTCAGGATTACAGTATGATCCAGCCCGTAGAATTGTGTAACACAGAGGACTGATAGGTAACGTATACCGGACCTTAGAATGGCCAGAGTAACGTACCAAAGAATAGTCAGGAATAGCCGAGGTCAAGTGATACAGAAAGAGACACAACGATAAGGAAAAGCCAGGGGTCTGGGATGCCAGAAAACAGGGAAGTCAAAAACAATGCCAAAGTCAAATAAATAACCAGAATTACCAGAATCAATAACGCGCTCTCGGACAACCACAAGGGAAACCACGACAGGGCACTGAGCAGGATGAGAACTGGGACTAAATACCCCCCTCTCCCCCCCTCTGGATCTGATAGGCTGTAATAGGCCTCTGACCCCAAAGGCAGTTGCCAGATTCACATTTGCATAATTGCTGCTCAGCACAACCCTCCTGTGGATTTGATTGCTGCTCGCCACAACTTTTCCTGTCAGGACAGTAACATTGTTCAGCACAACTTTTCCCTTTCTGAACAGTAAATTCCATTATTCACATTTTTATAAGCGGATGAATACGTGACATTAGCCCTCACATGAAGAACGCCGACCGGGCGGGCAGGACCAGGCTTGAGAGGAAATTTGGCATGAAAATAGCGAATCTTGCGTCCAGCATGTGTAACCGCGGGTGGTTCCCTTATTTACCACTATAATGTCTTAAAGCATAGAACTTAGTAGGGCTAACCATACAGATATCTTAGCCATAATTTTATATAGTTAGTAAGAGATCCTCTATTTACCATATATAAATAATTGAGAATACAATATAAAATAAGGATTGTCTTGGAAGCAATAGTTTTGTCTTTTGGATATTTATTATATAAAAATATAAAATCCATTATAGCAGAGTTTATAAGATTAAATTACATGCTTGCAAATATCATTAATAGGTTAACATACCCTTCTGAACATGTCATCATGTCAGCCTCTCTGTCATTTTAAGATGGAGCAGCGTCTGTCTCCAAGTCTCTCCTCTGTCCTTAATATTTAAAAGTACACCTATTTATACCTTAGGTGTCTCCATTTTAGGGTTACCGTAGTTCATTTACTTTATTCATTTTAGGACCTCCCTTAATTTGGCAAACATACAAGGCCATAACTAAAGGGTGCAAACGTCATGGAAATTTTCCTGACTTAGTTCAAGATGGCATCTTAAAGTCTGAATAGGTTATACTAAGTCGTAAGTGTACAGTCGTGGGAGATTCCCGGATTTGGGGAAGTTCCATTAACTTGGGGTTACCACAGTATATTGTGTACTGAAAGAGTCGTAGCATAGCCTTGAAGCTTGTTTATGCATTATTGTTATTGTAATTCGTCTGGGACAAAATGGCACAAACATACTATGCACTGTGGTTATTGCTTAAAGAAACAGTCATGAAAAACAATATGTTCCATTTCTAACACCTTGTCAGTTTGCAATATCTCTAAAAGACAAAGTACACAGTTTAAGAAATACAATATTTCATTCTAAAACTTGTAATATTTGCATTTGCCCATAACACATGTATATCAGATGCCGGAACCCAAGAACGATCGGCCGGTCCATTACCTTTCCAATGCACCAAGTACTGCAAAGTGCCCCGAGAAAACTTGGAATCAATTATGGAAGAGACCTCATACTCTTCCTGTCAAGTAACAACCAAGGGAGGAGGAGGGACACTTGGGACAGTATACTTATTGCAAATAAGAGGTTTGAGTAAGGAGACATAGTTACATAGCTGAAAAGAGGCTTGCGTCCATCAAGTTCAGCCTTCCTCACATATGTTTTTGCTGTTGATCCAAAAGAAGGCAAGAAACCCAGTCTGAAGCACTTCCAATTTTGCAACACACTAGGAAAAAAATCCTTCTTGACCCCAAAATAGCAGTCAGATGTCTCCTTGGATCAAGCAGCTATTACCCCACTAATTAGACATTATATCCCTGTATCTTTTATGTTTTTGCAAGTATTTATCCAATTGCAGTTTAAACATCTGTATGGACTCTGATGAAACCACCTCTTCAGGCAGAGAATTCCATATCCTTATTGCTCTTACTGTAAAAAAAACCTTTTCTTTGCCTTAGATGAAATCTCCTTTCTTCCAGCCTAAATGTGTGACCTCGTGTCCTATGTATAGCCCTGTTTATGAATAGATTTCCAGATAATGGTTTGTACTGGCCCCGAATATATTTGTATATGTTATCATATCCCCTCTCAGGCGCCGTTTTTCCAAACTAAAGAGATTTACATTTTTTAACCTTTCTTCATAACTAAAATGCTCCATTCCTTTTATCAATTTTGTAGCTCGTCTCTGCACTTTTTCTAGTGCCATGATATCCTTCTTTAGAACAGGTGCCCAAAATTGCACAGCATATTCAAGGTGTGGTCTTACCAGCGATTTATAAAGAGGCAAAATTATATTTTCATCTCGAGAATTTATGCCCCTATTTATACATGACAAAACCCTACTGGCCTTAGCAACGGCAGATTGACATTGCATATTACTGCCTAATTTGTTGTCTGTAACAATTCCCAAATCCTTTTCGTGTGTGGTTATCCCTTGTTCACTACCATTTAGGGTGTAAATTGCTTGTGCATTCTTAACCCTGAAGTGCATAACTTTGCATTTCTCCATGTTAAATTTCATCTCCCATTTTAGTGCCCAGTCCCCCAATCTATCCAAATCCCTCTGCAGCAAGGCAATATCCTGCTCACATTTTATTACTTTACAAAGTTTTGTGTCATCTGCAAACACTGATACATGGCTTTCAATGCCCATTTCAAGATCATGTATAAATATATAAATAGAAGCGGTCCCAAAACAGAACCCTGAGGGACACCACTTACCACTTTTGTCCAGCTTGAAAATTTACCATTAATGACAACTCGTTGTACTCTATCCTTAAGCCAATGTTCTACCCAAGAACAAGAATATTCATCTAGACCAATTTCTTTTAGTTTGAAGACTAACCTATTGTGAGGAACGGTATCAAATGCCTTGGCAAAATCCAAGTAGATCACATCCACTGCAACACCCTGATCTATACTTCTACTTACTTCTTCGTAGAATGCAATTAGGTTAGTTTGACATGACCTATGTTTCATAAAACCATGCTGATTATTGCCAATAACACAGTTCTTCCCAATGAATTCCTGAATATTATCCCTTAATAGCCGTTCAAATAGTTTCCCAGTCACAGAAGTTAAGCTCACAGGTCTATAATTTCCAGGCAGGGATTTTGAACCCTTTTTAAATATAGGAACAACATCTGCCTTCCTCCAATCCACCGGTACAATACCTGAAACAAAAGAATCTTGAAAAATTAACTACAGAGGTTCACTTATTTCCCCACTTAGCTCCTTAAGTACTCTTGGGTGGATACCGTCAGGCCCCAAAGCGTTATTTACATTAATTTTCTTTAATAGCTGTAGCACCTTGTCTCGAGCTATCCAATCATATATCCTATCCAAGTTATCACATGAAATCTGTTAGGAATTTTCAATGAGGCTGGAAGGGCCAGAGAGTATGAAATGGGATTGAGTCTTGTAAGGACACGAAAAGGCCCAGTGAACCTGGGAGCAAATTTCATGCTAGGGACTTTAAGCCTGATGTTTCGTGACGATAACCAAACCTTCTCACCCACCTGTTAAACAGGGTTGGCACCTCGCCATTTATCAGGATGAAAAAGACAATTCAATCCCCTATTGTTTATTGAAAGCCCTCCAAAACCGGGACACAAACTGAGAACCTCTATCTGATACTATATTGTGAGGCATTCCATGCAGACGGACAATTTCTCGTATAAAGATTAGTACTAGGTCTTGAGATGACTGCAATTTCTTGAGTGGGATAAAATGAGCCATTCTAGAAATCGTAGAATTAGGAAGTTCAACAATCAAGTCCATGGACAAGTGGGACCACGGAACCTCAGGAATGGGAAGAGGTTGTAAAAAGCCAGAAGGAAGTTTATGAGGAACTTTAGAAACCACACAAACAGAACAGGCCTGCACATACTCCTTAACATCCTTGCTGAGGAAATCCCACTAAAATGATCTCATGATAGCAGAAGTGGACTTATTAATACCCGGGTGGTTGGCAGATACGTTGTCGTGAAACACCTTCATGATATTAACCCTCTTCCCTAGTGGAACA